TGTGCAAATCTTTTTACACCTTTATTTTTTTAATTTGTTCAAAATATGATGTATATTTTTAATATTTGGATATTTTTGTTATGTGTTTCTAATTTAAAAAAGGGGAAATTTCCGAAACTTTGTAAAATCGAAATTGAAAAATAACCTAAATTTAAATTCTGTTGAGTACCAATAGTGTAATTTTATGAATGAATAGTGAAGATATCTTTGCTTAACAAAATAAGCGAAATATTCATATGATTTTTATACTTTTTTAATTAAAAAAAATTAGTGTTAATTGGTTTTAAGTATCGGATTTTAATCTGAATTTTTCTGATTAAAAAATAACATAAAAGTTTTTTGTGTTTTTTAAAGTTTTCTGTGTTTGTACTACAATTTAATGCTCAATTGTTTATGTATTTTACTACTTCTTGTTTAACTGCCTCATGTGAACATTTTCGCCACCTAAATCCATTGCAAAATGTACAGTCAATATCCATGTTTAAATAAATAAAGCCTCCCATGGAGAGAAATTTCAGAAATAGTTCAAAAGTTTTTTTGGTTTTAGCCAGCCTGCATTACTTTAAGGATTATGACATAAGTATCTCAGAAACACAAGTTACAATACTACAGGGCTTCGGCAATCAGCTTAAATTACAGCTGTATTAAAGAAACACTTGCTATTCCTTTCATTTCATTTGAGAAACGTCGCAGCTGTGATTATGCTGATTATGTTGTACCTAATATTAGACTGAAAGTACTACTAGCAGTCTTTCTTTTAATGTAGCAGCTGTGTTCTCATTCTGTAATAACAGACCCTTTCGATTTTCTGTGGCATTATTCTTGTAGACATCATAATAAAAAGAGATTGATCATATTTGTAACGCTTCTGTTACTTGCTCTCTAAATTAAAATTTTTTACATATTATACAATGCAGAACAATACTAAACTGTTTGCAAAACATTGCTAAACTGCAAAGTAGGATAATGCTTTCATATGTATCAGCAATGTTAAAACAGTATACAGTTAACAGACTGTTGTGAAAAATATGCAAAGAAATGTTTAACACAAGCAAGAAAGGAACTTAAAACAACTATTGATCTTTTAAAACTTCCTGGGCTTAGCAAAAATGTGCTGGGGGTTGCTCGCAAAACAGAAGATTGCCAAAATCGCATACAAAAAGTAAAATATATTACGCAGTCCATAAGATAGATATTAGGAAAAGACCGCGTTTAATATCAACTTTACGTCAGTTTTTTGATAGATAAATATAGAAGTATTACGTTCAAGCAATTTGTATGAAAGTATTTCTTCTGCGCTTTATGTTGAACGAAATATGGCTGCAAATATATACCCTTAAAAATTAAAATAAATATATATAAGACACGGAATGTTCGTGAAAGGCTGGGAAGTTTGCTCTTCGATAGGTACAACTCAAAAGAGTCCAGTTAAATAAATTTCCTTTAAATTTTGTACGTGATTACAATTCTTTATATTCCATTTGCAATCCAACCTATTAGTTTGGAAAAGAGCGTAATCAGTATACCGACTTGCAGTTACTGTTTTTGAAATATTTTCTCAAAATCTTCGGATAGAATGCCATTATATATATCGGATGTCTTTCATTTTTAGGTTACTTTGTTTTGACAGAGTTTTAAAATATAATTTACTGTTTCTGTGGTATCAAATAAGAAAGACTGAACATGACACTTCCCTTTCACATCCCGTCCTCCTATTCGTAACTGACATTTGTAAGAAATTTTTAAGTTATTTGTGTATCTTTTCCTCAAAGATAGTTTAAATCGAAAATAAATTAATATAATTCAATTAATTTGAAAATTTCGGTAATAAGGGGGATCATATAACTTCTATATCAAGAAAAATATCTTTCCCTCAAAGATAGTTTAAATCGAAAATAAATTAATATAATTCAATTATTTTGAAAATTTCGGTCATAAGGGCTTCTATGTCAAGAAAAACTTCATTCTATCAGGCATACTTTGAATACTTTTTGATGATCCGCACCCTCAAGAAAATTTGCCAGTTCATCGGAGACTTTGAGAATTGGCGAAAAACTTTTATTTGGACTCTCTTGACAAGAGACAGGTTTTTATTCTGTTCCTAAATAATAAAAATCTAATGTGAAGACCGCATGACTTTCTTATATGGCCTATTTTTGCTGCACTTTGTTTAAACTTATTTTTTCGAATTTCATTAGAGATATATTTCTCATCAATTCAGTTCTCATTTCGCTACAAGGCAAAAACACCTAAACTCAAAATATCTTCAGTAAAAATTGTAAAATACAGAAAAACCTAAAGTACCAGATACAGTTAAAAACAAATTTTTTTTTTTTTTTTTTTTTTTGTAACAATACAGATTAAAGTTCGCCAAAAGACGCAATTCGGCCAGGGGGCTTCTTCTGCCCCAATTTCGCCCACACTGTGCAAAAAGACACTGAAGTTGGTGCACCATCTGACTTAAATCACTATACTGAGAGTTTCAAATGTAAAGAAATGGCGACCTCCGTTAGGTTTAGCACCCCTTAAACTTTTAAATTGTTGGTAATTCTACAACTCTTGCATGTAGATTAGCTAGAGACATGAAATACTTGAGCGAAACATAAGAATAACCTAATTCAATCACTTTTAAGCAAAAATGCACGATTTACCAACATATGAGAATTAAAAACCTCAGCTCATCGTGCTGGGTAACAGAGTGGCAATATATATATATATACACAGTGAAATACGTTTAACGCGAAAACGCTTAAGACGAAATATTGGTTAACACGAAATATTACAACGGTTCCGACAAATTACTATATATTTTCATGCATTTTGTTTCTCTTAACACGAAACAAAATTCGATATACGAAAGATGCGAAAAGGTATCCTTTCTGAAAATGAACAAAATACAGAAAACACATGGTTTCACATGTTTCGTAGAAAAGAGGCCAACGTGGCTTTGAAATACCCTCGGAATAACCTGTGACACGAGCCATTTTAAGCTACTTTCACCTTCCACCCCTACAAACGCCACAGAAACATCTAATCTTTCATCAGTTGGCTTTAGAATTCGGTGACGAGTACACCACAGTGTGAGTAAAAATCAGTGAGTTTAGTTCATATGTTGCTGGAATTCGGTGACTCCAAGGGCGAACGAAAATTGTTTTCGTGATGCACGATTCTTAAAAGTACCAGATTCTTTGGTGCCAAAAGAAATGCAGAAAGAGGATACTGAAACTGAGCCGACGCTTAATGAAATGTTTGAGAAAGTTTTTGTATCAATAGACCGTATTGTAGTATCGGAAGATTTCGTTGGAATAGTTGATGACAATGTGCGTACAGCTCCAATTATGGCAGACAAAGACATTTTAGGGATTGTTTAAAGCTAAAAAAATATCATTAATACAGATTCCGACGACGAAAATGAAATGAATAATGCAGCTCCTGTTTGTTCCCACGTCATGCGAAATGAGGAACATCATGAAACATATGCGCAGTTATTTAGACGTACATTCCAAGGTGAAATGAATAACAAAATGAACGGCATTGAACAATTTGTTCACAATTTGATGTTAAAAAGACAATGCAAAGAAAAATTAAGATTATTTTCCAAAAACTCAATACATATTTTATCAGAAAAACTCGAAAATTTTGTATTAAATTGCATCAAGTTTTTGTGGATGTTTTTGCTTCATTAATTTTTTATTAAATACATGCATGTATACATACTATGTAAAAAAAATTTTACTCTAAAAATCTTAATTTTTTTTCAATATCCTTTCACACGAAAAATTGTTTCAGTCCCCTCAATTTCGTATTAAACGATTTTCGCTGTGTAATGTATATATACACGTTTGGTGAAGCCGATTGGCAACGAAAATTGGAGGTGCACAACTACGTGGTATAGTAGTCCCATATACCGAATTTGAACATTTTTACGACTAACCGTTTTTGCGTTATGTGAGATATATACATACATACGTACAGACGTCGCGAAAAAAAATCCCTTCTGATTCCATTTTACAATCTGTTTTGTTAAAAAGAGACCTTTATTCTGTGGCCGTACATACTGATGTTACCCAAAACAAATCGTTCAAATGAATTCAAGAATTGGCTTCTAATATTAGAAAACAAAATTTGTTTTGTTTAACCCACGTAATGAACAACTTTCCTTTTCATTAAAAATTTGTTGACAGTAAAATCATTCAAGAGTTACATTAAAATTCCATGCATTTTTCATTCCTTTAAAATTTTATCATTTATGTTTTATGAATCATTATATGGCTTAATATCTGTACAAATTTCATGACATGTAAAATTTGTTACAATATATAAAATCTAAGCAATTATGTTTGTATTACGTAGAACTTTTTTATGGGCTATCAAGTATTAAGAAAGTGCAATCGCATTTGTCACTTTGCCTTTGAAACTAAAGCTAATTTGCTATAGAAATTATATTATAACTGTAGAAGTCTTCCATTTAAAATAATAAGCAATTAAATTTAAGTCGCTAATAACAGAAGATTAAATGTCAATGATTTTTATAATACTTTGTACAGTCATTGGGTTTTTTTGAAGCAGGAGACGTGAAAAATGTGCCTTGCTGGGACTCGAACCGTAGATCTTTGAAATACGATTTGGGTATGCTTCCTGTTGTACTACGAAGCATGCGCGAAAAGGCGGGAGAAAATACCTTATACCTTTAAAGAAACACAACTTCGAGAAGAACTGTGAATACAACTTTAAGAAAATAGAACTCGCTACGTTTAAATATTTAGTGGTATTAACTATATCACTAAATATAAAAATTCTATTGATTGGTTACACTACGTACTTTTTTTTTTGCTTGAGATCGAAGATCCATAGTAATCAAGTACCGACGTGTCCTTTATTGCGTGAGTATTGCGTATGAGATTGAAATTAAAATCCTGTATATTTCAGTTTTCTTTGATTTCTATTGTATTATTTTAAAAGTACAATTTAAAAAAAATATTATTTGTTTTCTTTTCTAGGTAAGAAATTTGTTTTTCGAGTGGTAGAAGCATCAAAATCGTAAGCGAATCTCCTTTTATTTTCAAGTAATGTGTAATTTTTTTACTCTATATCAAATAAACTATAGTGATAATATGAATTACGATTTTATATGTCATAATCGTCGTGGAAAAAAATGACTTCTAACCTTAGTCATGCTCTCCAGGTATTTACTTCTTTAGGACATAGTCGTATTGCTTCTTTTTCGGTGCATATTATTTGGCGTCTGTCGCTTTACTGTGATCCATATGTTTAGTTTCTGCGACTCTAGTTTAATCGGAGTAATACCGGGAACGATATTCACTGTTAATTCAAAATCGCTGTTAATCCGAAGCAGTTAGAAAACACAGGAAAAAGGAATGATCTGTATTATAATTAACAGAAAAATATTGTTAACAGTTTAATTTGGAGAAATATTCATTTGATATGTAAATTATTGAGTTATCAATAAATTAACTTCGGTTTGCACAAATATATAGCATTATGTTCGTTTTATTCTTCCATCAGTCGTATAATTTTTTTTAATTTGGCAGCCAACACTTTTAGGTTGCTGTGGAAATAGTAGATTCCGTTTACTTTTGTTTATACCTGCTAGTTCACGGTCAAGTTCTACATGGAGTGTAAAAATAAACGTTTCCGTCATGTTTTACTTTTTTATTTTCAGAAAGCGGCTAAGTCTCACAAAGAGATGTGCCATGTTTATGGTATTGATTACTTAAAGTATGTATATGTCAGAATTGTTTAAAAATTTCATTCTGGAAATTTTTCACTTGAAAGACAACCAACGTTCTGGCCGACCTTCTGAAGTTGATAATGACAAAATTATAGCCGTAATTGAACGGAATCGTTACAACTGTGCGAGAGAGTGCAAAATGGTTAATGTTTCACACACAATAACTGAAAATAACATACGATGTCTTGGACTCGTTAAGAAGCTCGATATTTGGATTTCGCATGAATTGAAGTAAGTTTTCTGAACACGGCAAATCAATGTTTGCAATGCGCTTTTCAAACGTAATGCAGTCGGCCCTTTTAAAAATGAATTTTCACTGGTGAGAAAAATGGATTGTATACAGTAATATTAATCGAAAAAGATCGTGCTCCGAGCATGATGAATCAGCACAAATCATATCGAAATCTAAATTGCATCAGAAAAAGATCTTGCCATTAATATGATGGAATTAAAAAGGTGTTGTGTATTTTGATCTGCTTCCAAGCCACCAAAAGATCAATTCAGATGTTTACTGTCAACAATTTATGAAATTCGAGGAAACATTTAAGAATGCCATAATATGCAAATCGCAATGGAATCGTGTTCCTCCACAACGACAATACGAGACGTGTTCAGCAACACGTAACATTATTGGAGCTTGGTTTAGGAAGTGATGTCTCATCCGCCATGTAACCCGACCTTGAACCATCGGATTATCATTTATTTCGATGTTTAGAAAACTTCTGAAATGGTAAAAATTTCAGTAATATCGATGACCTCCAATCGCACTTCGTTAATTTTTTGATGATAAAGACTATAATTTTTATAATCAGGAAGTTATCAGAAAGATAGCAAAAAGTCATCCAAAAGAATGAAAGATATTTGACTGATTATAGTTAAAATTTTGTGTAGAAAAAACTTTAAATTTCACTCTAAAAATCGAAATTACTTTCTCTCCAACCATATAATAATCAAATCAAGAAAAACAGATTTCGAAATAGAATGTTTTTCTTTACACACGGTGTCCATAATTTAATCAACGGGTAAGAAAATTGAATTTAAACTTTATTTTACGAAGTAACCGGAAATAATTTATATCGATATAATCTTTATTTTAAGACATTTCAGTTGTTTAATTTTTTGGAGTGACAATAGGAAACTTGTTTGTTTGCGGGCAAAATGGTGTCGTGTAGTGAAAAAGTAATGTGCTTTCTCTGGTTATGCCTCGATTCCGACATGAATTTTAATAAACCTCCGCTAACGGAACAATCAATTAAAAGATGGTTAAAACATGTTTTATATAAAGTGCAGGAAGGCCGAGCGTCCGTGATGGAAATGTTCTCGGCATTCGAAATGTGTTTGTGTGCAGTCCTAGTAAGTCTATTCAACGTGCCAGCGTGCAAACAGGAATTCCCAGTTCGACTGTTCATAAAATTTGGTCATGAAGTAACTGCGTATAAATTGCAAATCAAAGTTAACGATCGAATCATTCGTAAGGAATCTTACGTAGACAGTTTTTCCCATATGAAGAATACTGATCAGTTTCTTCAGAGAATCGTATTCACTGGCGAAGCAACATTTCATGTTTCCGAAGACGTTAATCGACATAAACTGCACTATTTTGGGGCCAGGAAAACTCGCGCTGTGTAAGGAAGATTGAGCAAGTTGCCCTAAAGTTAACCTTTAAGGGCACTAGCTCATAACAGAGTGAATTATTCTCATAACAGAGTGATTAGTCTCTTCTTTTTTCTCGGTGTCTTTAATTAATTCAGATGTTTACTTCGATATACAGAGGTTGTTTGTTGTACCTCAATCAAGAGAAATGCAGCCAAACGTTTTTTCCAACAAAATGTAGTCCTTCCTTGATGAAACATTCCCTGATCGTTGGTTTGGTAGAGTTGAAGTAATTCCATGGCCACTCCGTTCGCACATCGCACTACTCGACTTCTTTTTCTGGGGATACCTGAAGAATCCAGTTTATGCTTCTGAGATTTGCAGCATCGAAGAATTGAAAAATCGAATCACCATCGAAACAGCTACTGCGACTCTGCAAATACCTAATAACGTCTGGAGAGAAATTAAGAACATACTTTATATTCTTTGAGCAACTAATAATGCTCATGCTGAAGCGTATTAATATTTGAAGTGCTAGATAAAATTCAGTCTTTTCCCCTATCTTTTATTCTATATTATTTAAAACAGTATCCTATCAATAAATTATGAACACCCTGTATTACTTTTGCATTTGCATAGGAATTAGTGGCAGATAGAAAATTAATGAATGCACACTTAATTTACACGTATAATTTTGGATGTTAATTTAACAATGTGTATATTTTGCAGGTTATGTTTTATTCTATTGCCTATAGTTGTGGATAAAAACGATTCTTAAATATCATAGCAGCATCTGCTATCACTGGTCTTAATGCACTGATTTCCTTCTCTTTCTTTGTTTTTCTCGTTGAAATGCTGCTTTTCTGATATGTGACAAGTAATTTTTCAATCATTCCACAGCAAACAAAGTTAACTTTTCTCTATTCAATGACGGGTCAATTTGCTCCTTGTTAACCGGAAGTTAAGTGGCTATAGTTAAGTGACTAAAACCCATATTTTTGACGCGTTGTTCATTCGTTGGACTTGCTTCGTTATAAATTCAGATTTAAGTTTTCGTTCATTTAGTGTAAATAAAATTCCAATTATTCCGATAAACTAGAGCTACAACACATCTGGATATTCCATAAAATTCGTACAGTAGTTCCCCCTCCCCCGTATAAGGGAAATAATAATAATTGAAGTAAAATTTTTTAGGAGGGATTGTTGTTTTTCAGAGTCGGATTTAGACTTGATGAGGCTCTAAGCTATTTGAGATATGGGGCCCTTTATTAGTCTGTTATATACTAGATTTTAATTTTTTTTTGGGGGGAGGCCCTAAGCTATAGCTTGTGTAGCTTATATGTAAACCCTGCACTGTTGTTTTTGTTCATCATATTTTAGGCAGACCACTCGTCGAGTGGCGAACTTGCAGTTTGTTAAAGATTCTGTTCTTGACGGTAGAATTAGCTGGTTGTATTTTCCTCGTACGTAAATTACATATGGGTCAGTTTATTTTTGAAAAAAACCTTCTAGAAGGCATCATATCCTCATTATCGGTATAGCCTAAATTTGCTTTGCCGTAATAATACTAATTTAATCTTATCGTATTTTGCTTCGCTAAAAACTATACGTAAAATACTTATTTATTTTCGTGAAGCAATTTGCGAAACACTTTTTTTTTTTTGGCGGGGCGGGGGCTTTGAGTTTTGCCTCAACACGCAACATATTTTGCTCGCAGCGGAATTAAAAGAACGAAATGAAATTTTATTTTTGTAGGCCTTAAAACTCACATTATCTTGATCTTTTTTTGGGGGTCCAGTATTAAAATTTAATCAAAAAATGAATTTTTACTTACTTGAGACAAAATTCAAAACTTTTTTGATTCAACGAAAGTTAGACTGATTAATTTGTAATGACATAGAAGAATTCTGAACATTGATCAATGCGTATTTTTAAATTTTTTGCACTTACAGTTTACATTTTTTTTTAAACTTTTTCACTTGGCTCAATAAAAGATGTGGATAACTGGAGTTTTTGATTTCTAGAATACAAGTAATCTCTGCTGTACACTAAAGTATGTTGTGAATCTTAAAACGTATCATTTCTTTTAGTGTATGTTTGAAACTAATAAATTTTGGGCTATTTAAGCATTACGAGCTTTAGAAAGATTAGCATCAAGTATGACCTGATATCCAGTAACTGATTATGCTGTAGTCCTTAGCCTATCAAATAAGGAGGGGGGAGCCTTATTTTCCATTTAGGAGGTTTAAATTTTCTGGGAAGATTGATTTTCGAAGGTTAATTTGGAAAGACCTGACAGATCTGATCTAACTGATGATAGTAATTATTTATTAAATTCAGTGTACCTATTTTCTAAGTCATTTACAGCTTTTCAAATTATAGCGTATGTGATATTTTTGTTAACCATAAATTAATTACGTTGAAGAGTTAAAAAGCGCAAATTTGGGATAGGGAAATTAATACAGAGTTATTCAGGAATCTGAAATGTTTCAAAAATATATAAAAATTGAGACTATGCTACTGATACTAATTTTATTATATTGAAATGAAGATAAAGGGCCTCTAAATTTCCTAGATTCTTATTGTATTGATACAGGAACAGGAGACATCTGTATGTCACTGGTAGAGACACACCGGCAAGCTGGCTGATACCATAGTCATATGAAAATTGTGT